AATTAAATCAAACAATTCTCTCTTCTAGTTCCCACCTTTGTACTCGGTTGACGGTTGTTGACAATTGACAAGACAAATTATTTTTCTTTATCTTCTTTTCAAATAATACAAATCAGTGTATAATTCACTTATGTTACTCCATGGGTTACCACAGTTGTATCCTGAACTTTAAATGATTGTCTCCTTTTTTGTCAAAGTCCACACAGATGGGTTCAGTTACTTTAGAACACCCTTTGACAAGACAAATTATTCTGTTTATATGTATTAAACAGTGAAACTCACTTTAAAACATCACCTGTTATGACTAATCACTCACAAGCTGGCTAACTTCACGTTTTTTTTCCCTGACAAATTTTCACTTTTGACTTTTTTTCTACTTTCTACTTAACTTGCACTCGCGAGCCACCTATATATACACCTGTTCACTGAGGCCTCTAATGAGAAAAATACCGAAGATTTGAGTAACGTGAAGCCAACAATATTGGTAAACCTTGACAACAATGCAATTTCAAACACAACATATGATTCGTACAGAGTTACGTTACAAAACTTATCACAACTAACACCTTTAAAACAATTCATCTTCAACACTCCTGTCTTAAAAACTAAACAATCATTAATTATCAAGTCACAAAATAAACTAAATAATAACACTAACACAGAACAGTCTTGTATATCCAACAAACTATTTTGACCTTGATTTGCCCTCTCAGCATTGCTAAAAATATTTTCACTTATAGTGCACCAGTCTATTATACCCATTTATTTTCACACCATTCCAGAACATCTGCATTTCATATAACTACCCTCCACCAATCGTACTGCACCATCTAAACTAGCACAGGTCACTCCCTCTACTATTCTAGCACAATCCTCACTTTCAAAAATTGGAAGTTACAAACTAAAACAGTCATAACAGTGGAAGGAAGGGTGGGAAGTGGATGAGAGGAGGTAAGTACCTATCAGAAATACATTTTCAGTGTAGGAAAATGTTAACTTCCGAAACAGTACTACCTCATCTCACCCAAAGCTAGAATCTCACACTGGGGCTGGTGAAGGTGCGACAGTATTCAACTAAACAGATAACAACCACCTGAAAATAACAGGTGTGCCAGAAGAAGAAAGTAAAGCACACCTGTGGGGTACAGCACTACTTCTGGAACAGGTATGCTCTATGCCCACTAACAAAACAGTAACATATATTGGGTGAAATTTATGAGGCAGACACCATAGACTTAAGAAAATAATGTACAGCACTTTGCTTCAGAGCAGTGCAGTACAACTATGACGTGAATCAGCATAGAGTGAACATATGAAATGTCTAGTATGTAATTCAACAACAGGCCCAAAGAATTATGTGATAAGGGAAGCATCCTGGGGCACACTGAAATAAGTCCATTACTTTCGTGTCAAGGATATGGATAGCAACAAGAGTGATCTTCCCCTTAAAAAAGAAAAAAAAACCAGGGGAAGCGTCATAAATAAATAGTGAGATGAAATTTTATCTGATAATTCGGAATCAGCCCACTGTCAAGAAGTAGTGCATTGATGGAACTTTGTTGAATGGATGGCAAATGCCTGTTGTGGAAATACAAGTGTAGAGGATGACGTTTCAAAAGTCTTCCACCTTTCGTGTCTGAAGACAAAAGGTGGAAGACTTTCAAAACATTGTCCTCTACACTTGTAGTCCTACAACATGCAGCTGCCATCCATTTAACAAAGTTTCTCATGAATACTCTGCCTAAACAATCTATCAAACGCAGTGCATTAGTAGTGTAGTAGGTCATAATATGTGGTATAGGAATAATCAGTCACACTAAGGTGCCAAATAATGTTATATAGGCATAAGAAGTGGCTAGTGCTAAAGGACAGTAAATTGTATATGAATAGGCCAAATGCAGTCCACCCAGGTAAAAAATATCCAGAAGTGCCTTGGATATATAATATCATGGCCAAATGAGGTCAGCCTGGGAAAACAACATCAGGGGTAAACACCTTGGAATACGTCAGATTATGACAAGTGTGGTCTATCTGAGCAGAAAACATCCAGTGGAAGCTCCTTGCATATGATACAGAGTTTAAAAAGCATGGTCCACCTAGGCATAATCCAGGAGGAAGCACCTTGGATACATAGGATTAGTCCAACTGCAGTCCACCCAGGCAAAAACATTCAGGGGAAGCACTTTGTAATTCTATTAAGTCAAGTGTGGTCCAATCGGGCAGAAACATCCAATGGAAGAGCCTTACACTGAACAAGTGCGGTCAGCCCGGGTAAAACATCCAGAGGGAGTGCCTTGGATCCAGAATAGTATGTTATTGTATATTCAATAAATAAAAACAACAGCCCTCTTCTCATTTAATGGGTACTTATAAGTTACAAGTTTGATTTCTTTCATTGTACAACCCCACTCAGGAGAAAACCTTCATGGTCCACCACTCCAATAACTGAGAACTGGAGTGGTAAGGACTCCCGTGTCCACAAGAAAGAAAAAAAAGGAGGGGGAGGGAGAATATGCATTGGGGAGTTCTGAGGAATGACACACTGGAGGCTGTGCAATGAGTGTCTGCAATTCCATATTTTGAAAATCAGAAAGACCAAGATTGTAAGAATCATGGGTCAGTGGGGATGGGCAAAAATTCCCATCTGTTTTACTCATGAAATCTATGAGTGATGGTCCTTTATCTATATAGATGTAATAGTACTGTCTGTTGTCTGTCCATGTAACTATTTCACAGGATGTGAATCGATCTTCACCAAAACTGGTATGGAGGTTCATTAGGTCCATCAGGAGATACATACAAATTTTCAGTTTAGGGTTTTGTGATTCTTATGGGCATATTTGAATTTTTTACCACTATTCTGTTGATAGGTCTTCAGCAAATTTGGCATGAAGATTTGCTGAGTCCATGTGGACATACATGTAAATTTGTGGTTCCACATTTGGTGTTTTACCATCTTTATGGCCATTTTTGCATTTTTTACAATTACATATAATGGAAACAACTTTTCATGTCCTAATGTATTCTTTCATTAATCATGAATTTACATAACAGAAGGATAGGAAGGACAGAAGTCATGGCAAAAGGACCACCATCTGAAGATAGACCAACATCTCTAGTACACGGATAATGAGGAAGGTTAAATGGTACAGGTAATAAAAGCCAGTACACAATAGTAAGTCCTTGAGCTGAGGCGAGGGACCAGATAAAAGCTATGCATGAAGACAGAGTTTTGCAACATCTGAATGTGGTTGTCGGAGGAGCAACCTGGACAGAGATAAGGGCAAGAGCAGAGGGAACAACGTCTGAGCAGGCCAATACAGAGCAACTAGCAAAACACGACAGAGTGGTCTAAACAATGGAAATGATCCTGGAGATTAGTCTGAGAAGAGGATAGGCATATAGATGAAAGCCCCTCCAATCCTGACTGAACACATCCACCCCCAGAGTGGAGGAGTGTGAACAGGAGACCAAAAGGAAGGTAATTTGGCATTCCAGTGAGTGGCAAATGCATCTACATGTGATGTTCCCAGGCAAGAACACTTCCACTGATGAAGGGACCACTCTGTAGGTAGAACCTAGTTGGGACAAGATAAGCAGTCGGCCACCAGATTCATAATTCTGGTAACATGACATGCTAAGATGGTTAAATTGTAATAGTGGTTCCAGTACAGGAGGTCGAGTGTCTGAAAACACAGAGACCAGGACTTGGTTCTGTTTGGTGATGTAGCTGATGACAGCAGAATTGTCAGAGTGAACTATCACCACCCATCCCCAGAGGAGTGGGAGGAAATGAGACAGCCCGATGAACAGCCAAAAGTTTGAAGAGATTAATATGCAATGTAGTTTTTACGACTGACCAGTGCCCCAAAATCTCCTTGGATTCAAGGGAAGCTCCCTAACCTAACAAGGAAGCATCTGTGAATAGGTGAGCATTGAGACAAGGCAGAGGAATGGGAACCCCCACTGTGGTCATTTTTCTGTCGAGACACCAGGCAAAGTTGGCCCTGATTTCAGGAGTGAGGGCGATAGGATGATCCAAGGGATCATGGGAGAAGTTCCACTGGACGATAAACATCCACTGAAGGGAATGCATAGCTTCCAAGGAAGCCAAGGTCCCCAAAAAAGAGATAGAATCTCTCCCGCAGTGAGAGAAGGCAAATGTACTGCCTTTATGACTGCCCATTCTATATCCCTGAACTGAAATGGAGAAGGATGGGCCCGACTGAGATGAGAATTGAAGATAACCTCTAAATGAATAAGATATTGTGTAGGGGTTAGAAAGGACTTCTCCAACTTGATAAGAAACCCCACCCGAGCAGCTTCTCAAGGAAGTAATCAGGTGTGAGAGACTTATTGTGCCTGGGAAGAGGTAAGCAGAAGCCAGTCATTGATGTAATGACGAGTCCAAGGACCCACCAAGTGATGATGATGAGCAAATCAGTGAACTACTTGACAAATTACATAAGCTAGACCAAACAACAGTGCATGGAACTGAAATACACAGATCTCATGGAAGAACTGAAGAAAAAGATGTGACCCTGGAGCTATGGGAATATGAAAATAGGCATCTGTCACATTGAACTTTGTCATCCAGAGTCCCAGGGAAGAAACCCACTGAAAAGAGAGATATGACTCCATGGTGAACTAGGGGTGTCTTCAAAAAGGTATTCAGCCAGGACAGATCTATGATGGGTCTCCAATCTCCCATTTTAGGGAAACAAATTAGATGGGAGTAAAATCCCAGATGAGTGGGCATCATCTGTTCCATAGCTTCTTTGTGTAGGAGGTTCAGAAATAATTCAGCAAGACTACTGGACAAGGCACGATCCTGAGGAGGAGAGAAAGAAACCAGGGAAGAGGATAAGGGGGAGGTAACTTGAACTGAAGGCAAAGACCCTCTTACAGAACCCACAGATCCATCATGAAGATACACCAAGTGGTTAAGAACTGTTGCAACCTGGCCCCCACCCGCCCTGGAAAATACATTTAAAAGTTGACATACCTAATCAATAAAGTGTATGAACAGTCAAGTTTGCAAACTCTCCTGACTGTAAGCATTACTTGACTGATCAAAAAAAGCCGGGGCCTGAAAAATAGTCCAAGATATCTTCACCCTGAATAAATTCTTCCTCAAAAGCTTGTTCAGGAGGAAATGGAGAATAAGCCAACTACCAGCAAAAGTATCCAACTCCCTGCAAATTAAGGCTTGAACCTCCTCAGTAGATGTCATCAACCTACCTTGCTGGAGAATAGTGACACTACTATCCTCAATATTGGTGGGAACTTCGTCATTCACTACCATAAAATTCAAATTAGAATTCAAATTATGGAAGAATTCTTCAAAAAACAAAATTAAATTCAAAAGCAAACTGTTGAAGGACTGAAACACAATCACAACAAAAAAGCAAGCACATGCAGTGAAGTAAACACATGTCTATATACTGTAATGCCAATCAAGAAAGTGAGGATTGTGGTAGAATAGTAGAGGGATCTATCTGCACTAGTATAGGTAGCACAGTATGAATGGTGGAAGGTATTCACAAGATATGCACATGTTCTGAAATGGAATGAAAATATAGAGGTATAATAGACTGGTGCGCTATTAGCAAAAATATTTTTAGCAAATCTTTGAGGGCAAACCAAGGTCGAGATAGCTTTGGGTGAAAGGTGGTATTACTGTTTCACAACTTTGCTTTTTGAAATTTTCCTTGTTTTTTTTCTCAACACTTGGCTCTACATTACCTATTAAAGTTAACTGCACTTATAAGAATGATGTTCCAGGTCTTGTGTTGTCCTCCATTCTATAACATGCTTAGTCTAATGAGCATGATAACACTATCTAAATAACTTCCATTAAATGAAACAAAATTGTACCCTCAAAGAAAAAAAAACAACTGGGGTATTTTTAACCAAAAAAAAGCCTTGTTATTGTTGTACCTTGCAAAATTCTTAATTTTATTCATAGAACACTGGTTTAAGAAGAAAAAGTGATTGAAACAAACTAATATTTATGAACTGGTTTTCTGTAGATGTTTTCAAACAACAAAATAACTTCATCACATAAAATCTCCTATTAATGAATCTGCTAGATAAAGTTTCAACTACTGAAAACAAACTGGTGTAATGAATCAGTCACTGAGAGAATTAAATAAAAAACAAACTAACACAGATTGTTAATTGCACTTACTTTACCTACAGGGAACTGAAGTTGAAAAGTAATTAGATAAAGACAGTATCAACAAATCATGTTCTACATGCATATTAACCCAATAAAATAATTTCATTACACTAGATATCACCTAACCTTGATGGATCAGTTGGTAAAAGGCATGTTGTATAAATATAAACTAACCTTGATGGATTAGTTGGTAAAATGCATGTTGCCCATTTGTTCCTGGTTCACCCCACACAATAGGTCCTGTTGTGTAGTTCACTATAGCACCACTACGAGTAACATACTTTCCATTAGATTCCATGTCCCCTTGTTGGAAGTAGGCAGCAAACCTATGAAGGTACTGGCCAGAGGTAGGAAAAGATGTTACTAAAAACCTAAATCATGAAATACTAACACAGTATAGTTACAACAAAAATTATTTTGCTTGTATTTTAATTGTAATAACATTCAGTAAAACCTAAATATGTAGGTAATTTACTTCCTCTTAATTTTTTCTTGATCAAATGTTCAATTGGCTACTTCTAAGACACAGAACGATGTACAATCAGTACATTTCCATTAGTTGAAACTTTGTAGTATACCAGCTTACATTCAAGTACATTTGTATATTTTTTCACAAGTTATTTAGAGTGTAAACCATTCAATAAAAAATATTCATAAAGGTCTTTAAAAACTAAGTCAGATGTTTTGGAAATGCTACTATAAAGAGAAAAAAAAAAGAATTCAGGCACAAAATATATTGCACAAACAGATAAATACAAGCTTTTCTCAGTGTAAGTATGGTTATAATAAAAGTTTAATGAAAAGCTTCCTTGATTTTCATGTTCAAGTTGTTATATAAATGTTTTAATGTACTAATATTCAAAATAGTTTTGGTAAGTAAATTTTCTGGTATTAACTTTGAATAACAATCTCAAATTGAAACTTGTTAGTCAGTTTATATTATTAACATTTTACATCTTTTAACTAAGAAATATGTTCCTCACTATTTCACAATTACCTTATTGTAATAGCAACATCTCTTTATAAATTACGCCTTCCAACAAAACATACATGACTAAATTCATTACAAACAAGAATATACATGATTTACAGTACCCGATACCTAAAAACACACTCACAACCACATGACAGAGAATATATATGATAAATTCCACTGAAAACTCTTGGCATTATCAGATGATTAGTCATATGATTAATTCCTGTGAATTCTCTTCACATTATGAGATGATCAGCCACATGATAAATCCCAATGGAATCTCTTCACATTATTGGAAGATTAAGCACACCATAACAAATGTACATGGTAAATCTTGATGAAATCTCTTGTCATCATCAAGTAACTAGCAACACAATATAAAATGTAAATGATAAATCTTTATAATTATGCTTGTCATAAGACATTAGTATTTGGCCTATTACATTTTTAAACAGTACATTTTTTACCTAGCTCCTCATGGATTTTCAAATATAATAGTATTTCAACCACACTATACTAGTTATATCATCTGCTGATGATATATATCACTCAATCCAGAGCTATTAAAGTTGTTTGAGATGTAAAAAGAGTAGAGGTTAGAACAATATTTATATAAGCCATTCAATACAACTGTTATAGTATGTATGCCATTTTATAAGTTGGCAAAGAATGATTACAACCATACTTATCATAAGACATTAGTATCAGGCCTATTACATTTCTAAACATTACATTTTTTATCTAGTCCTTTGAGGATTTTCAAGAATTAGAAGTGTATAATAATAGTATTCCAACCAAACTATACTTATGAGGTAATTATCCACATGATGTACATGATAAGTCCCACTGAAATCTCTCAGAATTATCAGATGATTACTGACACAATCAAAAAGTACATGATAAATCTCACTGAAACTTCATGGCATTATCACATAATTAGCTAAAAGATAAATTGTAGTACAAACTCTTAACTTTATCAGATGATCAGTCACACAATAAAGAAAAAAAAAAGATAAATTACAGTAAAATCTCATGGCATTAGTAGGCAATCAGCCACATGTTAAAGAGTGTACATAATAGTCTTAGTAAAAACTTTGCATTATCAGATGATTAGCCAAATGATAAAGAAAAACATGATAAATCCCCATAAAATTTTAGAATTATAAAATGATTAGCCATATGATAAAGAATATATATAGTATATTCCTGAGAAACTCTTGGCATTATCAGATGATTAGCCACATGATAGAAAATGTACATGACAAATCTCAGTAAAAACTTAGCATTATCAGACGTTCAGTTACATAAAGAAGAATGTACATGATAAATCACCAAATGTTTTACCAAAGTTTATATGGTAGTTAAAGTTGTTTAAAAATTTACAAATAATGCTTATCATTGCAGAATTCAATATGCACTTCTGAGCTTACTTGATCATAAGGGAGAAGTGCATGGCTTTCAGCTCCATAGAAGTTGCCATACCAAACTCCTAATAAGGCCAGCAACACAGGAACCTGAAAGTGACATTTTTCATCAAAACATTAGTTTCCTGTTACTTTTACTAGCTATAGCTAATCACCAATGAAAATTCCTATGATTTTGTTTACAATCTTTTTAAACAAAGGTCAAGTACTATTCTTCATGACAGAAATGAGAAATTCAACATAAATCATCATTATCTTAATAATTAATGAATTATCATACTGATAGAGCTTTAAAAACTGAAAAAATAAAAACTAGTTTTAGTTATTAAGTGAAACAACACATTTCCAACTTACATTTCTTTCCAGAGGCATATTTTTGAAATGTTGATCCATGAAGTGAGCTCCTGTGAGAAGTTGTTCAAAATTGTCCATTCCTAAAGAAAACACAACAGTTCATACAAACTTTTCATGTTGACCATATGCAAAAATTAATTTTAACATCGTAATGGTTTTTACTGCCAGATTTTTATGTACTTATCTTTCACATATGCAGGCATATTTATAAAATAAACTTTTGGATGGTGTAACACATTTTTCAGATATCATTAACAAAATTAAACTTAAAACATTTTATTTCATACAGTTTCTGGTACTCTGCTTTCTTAATTATTATTAGAAATTAACCCTTGCTACAAGTGCAACTGATTTGGTTGAATCCTTTAACTTACCTATATGCAGAGCAATAGACAAGCCAATTGCTGACCACAAAGAGTACCTTCCTCCAACCCACTGCAACCAGAAAGGTCATTATTACTATCTGCTTCCAAATAAAAGTTATTTTCTTTTTCACTTAAATTATCAATTTAAGACTCGTCAAAACTTTCTATACTTTTAGTACATGTTTAAGACTTAATTATTATTAATCCAAAATTTATGTTTCAGTTACCAATAGTTCTAAATTCACAGTTTTTTGTTCATCATTAATTAAAATTCTCTGATGTATTTAGTCTAATGTATCATACAGTACTATGTTAGTTATCTTTTCACACTTGCAAAAATAATCCTTTATTTCAAGATTTAGTTCAACACTACTGTCTTAATTTTCATTAATCTAGTAACCATGAAGTTATATTATCACAGCGTATAAGCACATTTTAATTATTGTTACTCCAAAAGTCCTATACCATGATTATCACTAATCTGAGTCTTCTCACTAATTTTAAAATTTTGAAATTTACAATAACTAATCAAACAACTAAGTCTCATTATCCAGTTTCTTCAATAAATCCTCCATTTTTATTCTAATTATCTCTAATTCAGTAGTTAGGTATTTAAAATATTAATCAAACTGTCTTATATTTTAATAATCACTAATCAAACAGTCATGTGAATAATAATAATTATTATTATTTGTTTTTACTGGAATATTCCAGGTCTTACATTTCTGTTCTACCTATATCTCAATTGTGCTGACTTTTAATAACCTGTAATCCTGTCTTGCATTTTAATAATCATTAACCAGTAGCCCTAATTTAAGAGAATATAACAGTCCTGAACTTTAATAAACACTAATAAAAACTAACAGTCCCATACACACTCTATTTTATTAATCACTAACATATTAGTCCTATTCCTGATCATTCTTAGCTCAAGGATCCATGATGTAATTATCTTTAGTTCATTAGTCATAATTTAAATATGGATATTCAAATTATCCTTTAATGTAATCAATATTAATCCATTCATACTGTCTTAATTATTTTTAGTTTAAACTTAATTTGTTCTGATATTATTTGATTCACCTTGGATATTCAGTGTCATTAACTGAATAGCCATAAACAATTTTACACTTGAAAGAACTATATTCATTTCAATCATGTCTGAAGTTAATTATAATGTATGTACTAAAAATTCCTTAAGATTTAAAATCTATAAAATAAGATATTTATGCTCAATAAAGGACCTTATTAAAAGCAATTCCTACTCCAAAAGGAACATACCCAGATACATAACCTGTGTACCCCAAGAAAGGTGTTCTGAAACTGGAGCCACAGGAATTTTTTTTTTGGGGGGGGGGGGCATAGCAAATACACGAAAGACTGTTAAGGTACTTAGTATCTATAGATTCATTAGGAAGGGAGCCTCAATCATGATTCAGAATGTTCTAGGAACCTTGTTCTGAGAAAGTTGGGTGCCACTGCTCTACAGGTTCATGAAAAAAAAAGGGAAGACAAAGATAATCAAAACATCAGGAGATAAACAAAAACAATGCTTAGATGATGCAACAGGCACAGATGCTTTCATCTAAAAACAGCTTGATGGCTTTATAAAGAGAAATCTGCAAATATTCTTTGAAGGGTTGGCAGCAGGTCTGACAAGTATCCATTTTGTTTCTTTGATGTTTTATAACAAGTTTTATTTTTGGGATAGATGTACTATTAATTCAACAATTTTAATATGGAGTGAAGATTCAAAATATATGTAAAAAAACTACTTGTTTCCTGAAACTCATACAGAAGAAAAGTGAACATATTACAAGGCAAATGTTTTATTAAACTACTTACATCCCAAAACTCAAACATGTTCTTTTCATCAATCCCAAATTCTTTCACCTTTGGCTAAATATAAAAAGAAAAGTGTACATCCTTGAGACTATCACTTTTTCCTGTTTTAAAATCATATCACACACACAAAAAATGTTATTAAGAAGGAGGAATGTTAAAATAAGTTGAGCTTTTTGCCACTGAGTCACTTTCAATGAAGTGCTACATGAAATAAAACAATTTAGTTAAAACAGAAATAATTAAATAACTCAAGTTTGTAATCTTTAAAAAAGACACACTCTTCATTAATTGCATATAATACACTTTAGTTTAAATGTTCAGCAAGAAAATATATTACTTTTTATTATAGTATAATTACTTAATATTTTCAATAATGAATATCAAATAAATAGTTAAATCTATTTTCAAAGGAATTATTTAATGATTTTAATGAGAAATATACATGACAATTTTAGGAAAAAGATGTATATTCTTTAAAAAAAAACACAATATATATAAAATATTTCCATACAAAATTATGCATAGATTAGGATTAAAACAAAGAATGTTTTGCCTACTTGTTACATGTTTATTTAATGCATCTATTTTGATCAAATCTAAATATTTTTATTTCAAAACTTCAGATATCAGCTGGTTCACTACATTTTATTTTTTTCTGTTGTAATAATAAGCAGTTATTTCAAGTAACTTTTTTTTGCTTATAGTAATATTCAGAAATCTGAAACATTATTATAGTTGATATTTAAATTGCAAAAATAACTTAATTACAAAATAATTTGTGTAATTCCATTCAAAATGTGAAATTACAATAAAGTTTGATTATGAAAATGACTTATTATAACTTCAACTTAATAATAAAACATAATAACTGAACCAAGTATTTTTTGTCTGCCTTTATCTTGCCAAAAATTATTTTTAGGAATACCAAGGCACTTCTTACATAACTTATTAGTTCCATTCATAGTACTAACATTTATATATTTGAGTATGTACTATATATATTTTTGATGCTTGCTAATTCACATTACTGAAGATTAAACTTATAAGTTAAACTACAAAAGGCTACATAAGTTTATAATATCTGGATAAAATTAACGGAACAAATTTAATAATATGAATGCTTATTCTTTCATAAAAATAATTATTTGAATCCTTTTTAAACATATTAAATCACTTATACTCACTTAAAGGAAGAAAAATCACATTTGACTTACCTCATTGGTTGATAAAGCAACAAAATGCTTAGCTACTGCAGTGTCCTACAATTACAACATAACTCATCAAATAATGCTCAGCTACTATAATATTACAAACCACAGACAATAACTTACACAAATACTTTGATACCATAATGCTTTCAGTAAAGATTACACAGTTTAATAATTAGGTACTATAGTGTCCTATAATATAACACATTGTATTAAACTAAAATTATCAAATAACATATCCAAAGGGTGATTCATGCCCCATATCCTGGGCACTTTATATTTACCATTGCAGTTATCATTTTGTGTCAACTTACCTAATATAATTCCTACAGTAAATGATATGAAAGTATAACACTAACTTTAGCTACTTTAGTCTTACAGAGAGAGCAATTACTGCATTATATTAATCAGGGCTTGTACTTAACTATTTTTGGTAGCCATCTGAACCATGTCTTTAGGATGGCCAATGTACTTTTTCATTATTTTGTAATGAAGCAATCCATAAACAAATGACTTGTACTATGACCTATAGACCTTTCTTATTTGTAGTACTAACAACAATTCATTAAGATATAAAATAGCAGAAAAAGAATTTAAAAATTAAAATAAAACCCTGCTAAAAAATAGTGAGAAATAAATCATACTGCAAAACCGTGTTGTTGTTTAGTATGTTGCATACAATGGTGTAAAATAAGTTTGGTTGCTCATGAAATAAATAGGATAAAAATTTGTATGATTGTTTGATGATGACTACAAATAGTCCAAGACAGTGAGTGCACATAGTTCTTTTTTTTTCAGTCTTTATTGAAGCATTCATTCTTTGAACTTAAAAAAAACTATCACATCTCACACCTGATGAGTTCAGAACTTCCACTCTGGAAACCTGTACTTTGTCTTAAAAAGCAAAATCAAAACTCAACAAATCCCAAAATTCTTGCCATGTGCTTGTAATAAAACAGAAGTTTGGAGGTACAATTAATGGAAAACAATAAAGTGTAACACTCAAAGTTAGCCTAGGTCATTCAGTGCTGAATAAGGTATAAATATTGTTTTTATAATAAATGACAAACTACATAGAATGATGTACTACAAAACTGTAAGACTCCTTTAATTTGCAAAAAATATAATCACACTGTCTATTCTAAGTTAAGCTTCTATAACTATGTCCAGTAATCTACTTTGAGTAATAACCTCAAATGTCAGTTCTTGTACTAGGCCTACAGAGTTTGAATACATTGATGTAGAAAAGAATTAGTGACAATTAACAGAATTAAAAGTTAAACATTTTAATGGGCAGTTCAGAAAGCGTAATGTTCTAAGCTTTTCATGGATCATCTCTAAAATATCTAATGGACATTCACATGATTTTAATTTGATTGATTTTTCCTGGAAGACAGGAGAAACACAAGGAACAATTCTCAAATCTCACTGTAAACTGGCAATTGGATTTAAGACATTAAAAAAACATGTACTTGCAACTGCATTCAACAATGCATCATGGCAAGACCTGCATGATTGTGAAGAATTTGATCACAACATTTAAAAAATGATAAATGGGCCAGTAAAAAGAAACTAAACTTATTTTCTTTTGACAAGTTATATCTTTGCAGGTAGCCTCACAAAAGTTCAGTCAGTCTTGCTGTCACTTCAGGAGATTTGCTCTATGGGCTTTTCCTCAGCATCATCACTCACACTAGATGTTTCAGATTCTGCTTTGAAGCACTCTTCACAATATGAAACTATGTCTATTTATACTCCATGAACAATATGATAAAATTTCATTCATGTCTACTGCTGCACATCTGCCATCACTTTCATCACCCTTCATCCCATATATACAAAACATCCAACCAATTACCAAGAGAGTATTAACTCTTTCAGCATGGGCTCAGTCCCTGGGACTGACCTCGTAACCATTTTGTGCTTGTTATAGTTTCATGTGATATTGATTTTTTTTCATTTCCCTTTTTTTTCTTGTTTCATTAATTCCAGACTTTTGAATTGTTTATTTGTCATATCTCTAGTCTTCATCTTCCAGGCCATGCCCTACCATGAATATCCTTGGATCCATGAGTCTTTTACTGATTTTTTGTACCACCAAAATATAAGTTCAAAATCTTGCTTTATCCAACACCCCTCACACAAACATACCTAATTTAGGGGCTAATGGTACCTATATGTATGCTTGTACCTAAATTCCAGAACAATCCCTTTCCCTAGGGAAACTAGTTTTTTTATCCCTCTTTTATGGGCAATTTTCCTAGCCTTCAATCTTATTTGGTTACAGAGACAAACTAGAAAATCACCTTCATCTTGCAATGTCCATCTAACACATCCTCTCTTTCACAAATTACCAATAGTTTTCCCTGATGTTAATACTATATTATTTATGAAAAATAGAAAACCAAAGTTTTAATATATCAAATAACATATTATATTATGTTGTTTTCTGTACAAAGAGTTGTCTATTTTGCTTACAGTTCAAACTTCATTACCATGAGAAACACATCAATGAGAATAACTGAATCTTTAACAGCTCTTATCGCAGAGTTAGAAAGCCAGAAATATTATGATAGTTATTGAACATTGTCTGATTTTTACGTGTTATTGTTTAATTAAATAAAAAAAATTTAGTGTAGTAGTACTATTAGTACGAAAAAGTATGGTTAAGTGTCACTGACAGTTGACAGACAAAAAAAAAAAGAAGACCCAGGGGAGTACTACATGTCTTGTTTTTCATGTGTATTCTTTACTTATCATCACAAACATAACTAAAATTTAAAAATTAAAAACTTATCAGGTTAGATTAGTGAAAAATTAAAAATAATAACAAATCACTTTCATGAGGTATGCTTGTGAGTAGCCCATGCATTACATAATTTGATAGGGTAATGTGAGCTACATGTTTGCCAAGTGATTTACAACTTGTGTGGCAGGATTATTAGTTAGAAATAGTTCTAAGGGCAATACAATAATAAAATTCAAGTAGAAACAGATGTATATTGCTACAAGTTTTAAGCTATTTATGATAAACAAATGTAGTTTCATATTACAATTTGATGTCATTTCAGAAAGAAAATGGTGATTTATATTTTGTTCATTTTTTTATGGTGGTTATGAAGTTGGTCAAATTGACTAAACTTGTATATAGAGTTAGAGTAGTAAAAATAACAAATAAAATACAAAGTGAGAAAAAAAAATGCTTGAAATTTATTTAGAGGGATTTAGAGATTGCACAAATGAAATTTTAAAATTTTCAGATGAAGAGAAGTATTCTTACTACTGACATGAAAATTACTTTGCACTCGGAACAGTCACAATTTTAACTCCATATATTCACGAAGAAATCTTTAGTGAAAATACCTCATTAAAAAATTCTGATTTTTTTTTTTGGTCTACAAAAGACCTGTAATGCTTACTGAAAGCTTGTGAAATTTTGTGAAGATACATGAAACATATTAGAAGATATAGTATGAAAATTATAAAGGTCAATTTGGGGTCACAAACTCAGCTAATTTCACCAAGCCCGTAGTAAGAGTTTTAATGAATATGATTTTAGGTATGATATTCTACACAAAATATTAGTGTGACAAAATAGCACCACAACCCTACTTGTATAGAAACTACTGGTAAATATGGGTTTCAGCATATGCACACTAATTCCAAGATGTGAAGCTACTCACTTTATGTAATAAGTAGTATGATATGCTATGACTGTCATTATAGTTAAACCTACTAATATTACACTGATCTTTAAACTTTTAGATCTTACAGGATCAAATCTTCTAACTGACATGTACTTTACAATCTTTTCTATTTAAATTCATTACATTAATTATATTATGCATAGATATGTAATAATCATACACTATAACTTAACAATTATTTCATATTAGTAAATTTTGGAAGATGAGAAATAAACTTTGTAATATTAGGAATAATGAATAAAAGTTCGGAATGTTAGGAATAATGAATAATTAGTACAAGTGACAAAAAGTACAAAAAAAAGTTAAAAAGTTTATTAGAAATCAAATGACCAAATTATTTCAGACTTCAAAGCTTGCAAACTGCCTTGTGCAACCACTTCAGCAATGAACCAGGGAGATGCAACAGAATGCAAGCAATGTGAGAATATTATCAAAGAATTGATAATTCCCATGTTATTTTCATGTTTGTATTGAATGGTTTAGCGGTTCAGTTCAACTTTCAAACGTAAACACACAATGGTTTTATTCCTGAGGTGCACGCTGCATACAGTGAATCCAAACTGGCACAAAAACTTTCAGAAACACTACCTCTAGCTGCACACACTGTACTATAAGGCTCAATTCACAGCCTGCTTTCAAAGGTACCTGTATAGTGCATGGAAATCCCCCAAACATGTGCACACCATGAAAGAAATCTCCACATTAACAACATCCCTATTCAAAATGCAAGGTACCTTATGTGATAATTCAACCAATTGCAATGGATGATTGCTCTGCTAACAGCGTGATAAGTTTTCTTGGGCTGAAGTTGACGGTTCCATTTGAGAGGTGAAAAAATTATCAATGTCTTTCAGTTGAAATGCATTAATACAGCCATTGAGAAGAAATGTCTCTGGTATTGAAAACAAAATTCTAAAGAAAAGTGGAGCTAACCCAAATATGGTTGAGGTAAAATAGTCCAGCCTCAAAGATAGTAAGTGCACAAAGAGAGTATTTTCATAAAATTATTTTATTCAATGGTTAACCACTTTGCAAAATGCTCACCGCAACTTACAATATTTACTGACGGATTGTATTAATCGTTAAACTAGACTTATGTTTTAATTTCATTACAGCTTCAAACCTGTCTGTAAGCCATCATGGCAGCAACTATGCATCATATATAAAGATAATGCCTCCAACTGTTTTACCTTCATCAACTTCCTGCTCACCATCTCTGCCCATTCTGTGGGTTGTAAGTGAGGATTCAGCCAAATGAAGAGGGTGAAGAGTGACTGGAGAAACAGATTGGCAATTGATGCCCTAACCAGCACTTTTAGGGTTCTACTGTGAAGAAGAGTTAGCATAGCATAGAAGAGGCACAAATCACTGAGATCAATGAAGACTGACAACATTCCCCATTCCAAAATAAAAGAAAAAAGATGTTGATCTTAATTATGTACCTGATATCAATCAGACATCTGATATAACTTTGTTAATCATGTGCCTTTTTTTGTGCATGTATCCTGACATTATTGTAAGTGATTTTCTTTCTTTTTTACTTTACTTATGGAAGGACAACCAAAGTCTGGTTAATGGTTGTCCAAAGGACAACCATTCAGAATGTCTTAAATTTGTCCACTGACACTAATTAGCTCATATAATGTTCTGATGACAATTTAAATATCCTAAAATGAACTATAATGCACCAATTAAAATTAAAAGAACTAAAAAAAGTAGGAATAAAAAAAAGGAGTACTTACATCCTTGGCATGTTGTAGGAACCAGGTTTTAGCCGACTGTGCATTGGTAATAGTTTCCTGAGTTGTAAATGTCTGTAGGAAGAAGGCAGAGTACTAAGTTAGATTTAGTATAAAAAAATAGCTGCAAAAAGTGAGTAACATCTGAAGCTGTATACATATATATATATATAATTAAATAATATCTGAAAAAAAAATCAGAAGTTAGCCCTTTGTTTAGCACAGAAAATAAACTCAGACTGGGAATACTATAATTTGGGTGTTAAATATTTGATTAAGTTTGTTTGTAAACCATTTCAAATCTACACTTATATTTTCTACAATTGCTGATGGATATTTCTGCAGGCTTAATTGCTGTCTAGCTTAATATTGGTGTATTAGTAAATTACAAGTTAAAATTTAATTCCATTTCTATTTACTATTTTATATTTATTGATTGCAACACAGTTATTTTATTCAATTACTTTCCTCAATTAGGATCATACTATGTCTTTCTCATGTATATTATTGAGTCAGAAATAACAACATAGCTATTTTTCTCATGTACATTTCTTAGTTTGAAATAACAATACAGCTATTTTCATCATGTCCATTCGTCAGTCAAAAATAATAACATGGCTATTTTCCTTGTGTAACTTTCTTAGTTAGAAATCATAACAAGGCTATTTTTCTCACATACATTTCCTTAAGTAGAATCATAACAATGCTATTTTTCTCATGTAGATTCCCTTAAGTAGAATACTAACAAGGCTATCTTTCTCACGTACGTTCCCTTACATAACATGGCTAATTTTTCAAGAAGTTGAACAAGATAACCCCAAGATGTAATAATAAAATGGTGTGCTAAGTAAAACAATTTTAACATTTTTTGCTTTCTTCACTCACTTTATTGAGTTAAAAAAGATTAAGTAAAACTAGTTTTATTCCTAAAGCAATTGTAGACTGAATAAGCTTATTTTTCATAACACTTTTTTTTAAACATTTGATAAAACTGAATATAATTAAACAGGTAAAATTTGTGTATTAAGAGAAATTCTAATTAATAAAGGCACCAAATCACACTTAACAATCAAAAACAACAAATTACAAACACATCTGTCTTGACTTAAACATTTTTCATTTCTTAATATATTCATAACTTTTTACAAAGCTTTTGAAAAGCCTAGTTTTTTACTTTGGACAAATGAAAACCAAAGAGATGGAACACTGTGTCAAGACAATTTGCCTCATATACTATTAAGATGGGGATAATAAAGATCATTCTTTAAATTTATTATCTTAAGGCTTATTTATTTCATTAAAAATTCACATAACGCTGTAAAAATTTATACATTTTTTTTAAAGGTGATTACACTAGTTGAAAATACTTTTTCAATGTCACCATACACAGCTAGATTGTACTTGACAAACTACAGGAACCACCAGTAATTTGTTTATGTAATTCAGCAACATGTACATTTATAACTTAGATCAGTGGCTGTGCTAGTTTTTTAGTCCATTTTTTTAAAAACAATAATGCATATGCCAAAATACCTATGACCTTACTTACACCAAATAAAGGGAATCTCTCAGTTTTGCTGAGATAAGGTTGATAGGTGTGTGATTTTCATTAATTCTGTTGAAATACAATCAAAAGGGCTTTAAATATATTGTTCACTGAATTTAAAAATGCCAACCTCATTTTGTGAAATGTTTGCATGCATACAAGAAGCACTGACACACTGCTCATCAATATTCAGTGGTATTAACATTTATAAGTCTAGACTAGATTTTGATCAAAGTCCATAATAACAACAAAAAAAAACATGCTTAATTAAAATTGAAAATTGACTTATTGAGGTTGACTTGTAATTTGCAGATTAGATTTTTCAATTGATTTAAAAAAATATTACTTTAGTTAATCATTTAAAATAAAACTCTACTAAGTTTAATTCCTGTAAGTTGTAGTACTCTCAGTACTTACATTTTTTAATTTGAATTCAGATTTGAATAAAAGTAAATACTAAACAGTAAGGCTTGGATTCCATCAGTTGTACAACTTGTTTTGCAAAACAAAATTCTTGGAACTAAACTGCAAAATAAGTAACAATGTATAATCTTGAATTTGTATTTTTAGTCACAGCTAATTGAAAATCAGTTTAAAAAAGAGGCAATTAAGCAGTCCAACAAAATTGAAAATATCCTCAATGTTATACACTTTTAAGAACACTAACACCATGAATCTCAAATGAAGTTATTATGCATATTTAAAGTAAGAACTTGAAAAAATCTGCAGAAGTGAAAATTTCAATTGTACATATATAATTGAAATGTTCAACATCAGGCCTTTACTATGAAAGAATCATCAAGTCTTGTGTGTTCTGTATTGTTCATTTCCTCTCTATAAATGGTTAAGATGCATCTTACTTTTATTATTGTGTCCCTTTCCCATTTCTGTATATCCCATGAATGCAGTATGAATTTTTTCTCCAATTACATTTATTTTGCATCTATGATGAAATTATTCACATATTTGTGACTACTGTTTGATCACACAAAAATAAAAATACTCCTTGGATTGGAGAACTTATTCAAGAGTAAATTAAAAATCACTACCTTGGAGGCAATAATGAAAAGAGAAGTTTCTGGATTCAGATGTTTCAATGTTTCTGCTAAGTGAGTACCATCAATATTGGAAACAAAATGAACATTTGGCCCACAGCAATATGCCTTCAGTGCTTCAGTCACCATCAAAGGTCCCTAAATGGATATCAATAGTAAATACCATCATTATTCAAAACAAAGTGAACATTTGACAACAACAACAAGCTTTAAGCACTTCTATCATGAACAAAGGTCCCTACATGTGTATCAGTAGTGAGTTCCATCAATATTTGGAATTGCATATTTCAGTCCTCAAAATTAGCAACAATATAGAGCAAAGCAATGACATTTACATATGTCAAGTACAATAACAAAAAAAAAATGTTGTCATAAAAAAAACCTCAAACTTCTTTAATTTATTAATTATCTCAGGAAACAACTTTGAAGATTAAGATTTTATAAAAAAAATAAAGATGCTGATAAATAAGTGGAATATTTAATGACACAAACACCTCACCTTGCTTATTTTGAGATTTTAGTTGCAACTGAATTTATAGATTTGCTGTAAAGGGAGACCCCTAGAGCTAGGTATCTGATACATATAATTTTGCCATGTGCATATGTACTGCTTGAGAAAAAGATAAAAAAAAAAGGTATAGGTAGGTAACATTACAAATCTAGTTTCCACTTTGAAGTTTAAATGTGTATTTTAATATTTAATAACGTAAAGGTGACTTTTGGTCTGTACAAAGTAACGTGTCTTGGCTGTGTTTTAGTCAACTAGTATTTTGTAAAATACAGTCACATTTCAATTATTATACATTATATATGTATATAGATTATTGATATTTTGAAATATGTTCTTAAACTTATTTTTCCTAAAACATAGAACAAAAAATAAAGAAGTAAAGCAAAAAATTATCTTTTCTAGTTACAACCTTTGTACTCGGTTGCTAAGCCTTTAAAAATTTTGCATGTGGAGGATATGAAAAAATATTTTTTTTAGGTTTTATATATATATATTTGAATAACTAAAAAATCATAAATTACTACATGAATACCATAGAATTCTACTAAAATTTATCAAGCTTAGTAACCAAGCTTTATTTTGGTCTAAAAAATATGAAATTTCGAGCAGACCAAAGACACAACCTACTTCATTGAAATCTTGGTTCAAAAGAAAAAATGGTGGAAGGAATGTTAGAAAGGCTGAGAAAACCACAAGGAGGACATTCTGAGCTACCGATAGGTTATTCATGTCATATATAGAAGTGTATATAAGGGAGCATTTCCAAAAATGGAAAGAGGTGGGCAGGGTGCCACCTTGTTTGATTTATTACATGAG